TATATAATGATTTTAGAAACAATGGAACTAAGAGGTTCATTCTTAAATTCTTGCCAACAAACTGGGTCTTTAGTGCCTGAAACACATATAAATGGAAACAGAAAATCAGTAACTACACTATCAACATTTAACAATGTAGGATCTGATAATTGTGGATCTATGCCTACTGTACAAAATAATTTGCGTTCGTCAAGAGGATTTTATGCACGATTATCACCATTGGGTAAATCTGGAACATCATCTGGTCTTAATGCAACTGAATCAAAACAACAGAAAGAACCATCAGAAAGCAAGTTAAATGCTCTATTTGATCAATATAAGGTAAAATTTTAAAAAATTTTTTCAATTTTTCTCTTTTTTATTTTATTATATTAATCTACATCTTTATTGCATTACATTCATTTTTTTAAACTATTTTCTACAAATAAAAGAATTTATATAAATTTTTATTAATTTAATTATATTAATCATATATGAATTATAATATTAATTATATTAATTATAATGTCAAAAAATATTATATTTAACTTTTTTTATTTAAAAGTATTTGAAATTTAATTTATATTTAAATATAGTTATTTTTTTATTGATATCTATTATTATTTTTATTTATAGGATTCACATGAAGATGTAATTTTAGCTGATGGTATAGAAAGACTTTGTAATGATTTACAATTGTCACCAGATGAATTTAAAGTACTTGTTCTTGCTTGGAAATTGAATGCTAAACAGATGTGCCAATTTACACGTCAAGAATTTGTAACAGGTTTGAAAATGATGAAAGTAGACAGTATACGTGGTATACAAGCAAGATTACCTGAAATTGTTCAAGAATTAACTGTAAACAATGATTTATTTAAAGATCTCTATCGATTTACATTCCGATTCGGTTTAGATGTTAATTCTGGTCAGAGAATATTACCAGCTGATATGGCAATTGTTTTATGGAAACTTGTTTTTACAATACGTGAACCACCTCTTTTGTCAAAATGGCTTAAATTTCTTGAGTGTCATCATGTTCGAGGCATACCTAGAGATACATGGAATATGTTTTTAAATTTTGCTGAAAGTATTGGCAATGATCTTAGCATTTATGATGATGCAGAAGCATGGCCAAGTTTGTTTGATGATTTTGTGGAATATGAAAATGATCAAATGAACCAAAATATCAGTAAAGATGATTTGAAAGATGCTTCTATTGATAATTAATAATAGGAAAAACTAATTATAAACAAATATTCTCATTATATATTTAATCTCTGAACATAATTATTTAAAATTGTTTGACACTGAAATGAGAAAAATATTCATCTTATAATATTTTTTATTTATTTCTTATTTTTTCATTATGCACTATCTAATAAAAAAGATGATTAAATAAATTGCCCTAATAAAATTACTGTTCAAAGAATTTTATTCAGGGATATATAAACTGATATATTTAATAAATATATTAGAAAACAATTTCTATAATCTAAATTTGCGATACATAGTAGTATGAATCTATATAACTTTCTAAACATTCATATTTTTTAAATTTTTCAAGATATTGGTATATAGAGTATCCATTTCATTTTTAAACATAATTATCTCCCAAATTATTAGTCATTTTAAAAAATATTTAAAATAAAATAACATTGTTTTGAGGAAAACATAAAATATTTATAGTTATAAATCTTCTTTAGGTAATTTGCTTCTGAAATTTTAAGATGGTTTTCGTTTTTTTATGTTATATAATTATTAATTCATTTATTGATAATGATATACGTTTATATAAAAAAGATTCTCTGTAAAAAAAAAATACTAATTCATATGAAAGATAAGAAAAACACAAACAAAAAAAAAGAAGACAAATATCATTTAAATGTTTCTTATTTTTCATTAATATAATATATTTTTATAAAATTTAAGTTAAAATATCTTCTAAACTAATGATTTTTTGAAATATATATGGATTAATACTTTTTTTAAAGAAAATATTAATAAAATACATCAATTAAAATGCATTAAAAATTATATAATTTCATTTAAAAAAATAAAGATCAATTTAAAATTTCAAAAGCATGTTCATTTAAAAAAGATTTGAGATTATAAAATATTTCTTTTGAAACAATATAAATTTCATTTTAAGCATTTTTTGATTTATAATTTGAGAGATAATGTATATGAAATGATACCCTAGAAAAAAAAACAGATATAAGAAAGTAAAAGAAAGAGATTTTATATTACATAAAAATAATAAATTAAAATAATTTAAAATTTATTTAATATCTCATTAATACAATATATATGCCATAATTTTGTTTAAAACATGTATAAACATGCTACTGTCAAACAAATTTGGTTATTTGTAATCATGATTTATGATATTACTTTAAACAAATGTATGATTTATTTAAATTATGTTCCTATTTATTTTTTAAATGTCAATAATTGAACTTTGACTATGATTAAAATCATCATTAAAACTATTAAATTTTATTTTAAATATAATTGATAATGATAATATAATTGATTACATATGTATATAGTGCCATGTCTTTCGAAAATATTAAAAAATTATAAAAATTAATGATAATATATCATTGAATAATTATATGGAACGTTAATATTTCTACAAAAATGTGCTATATATTTACAATTTTGATCATCAAAAAAAATTTTTAACATCATATAAATTATTTTAAAAATTAATTTTAGTAATATTTCTAAAATATTAAAAAATATGTTTAAACCTATTTTATTTTTAATATCCTTCTCTATTTATCAAAAGTACAAGGAAAAGATAATAAAATAAAATATAATTTTAAAAATAATTTGCATAGAGGATCTTTTTATGTAATATAATTGGGAATAAATAAAATTATCAGCAGTATAGTATGTTTTGTTTAAGTAAAATAAAATAAAAATTCAATAACTTCATTGTGATTAATATATCGAAGAATGGAAACTTTGTTCCAAATTCAATGTATAGAAAATATATAATTATATATAATTAATTGTAGTAGTAATTAATCGTTTTTGAATAAAAAATATTATTATTCAAAAGTTTATGTAACATATCTGTATAAAGTATATTAAAAATTATAAATCATAATTTAAGAGAAACAAAAAATAGTACATAATTTAATATAAAAATAAATATTGTATAAAATTATGTTGTGTACTAAATTTATATAAAAAAAAAAGGATATTTTCTAATAATATTTATAATATGATAAAGATCCTCTGTGTCATATTATTCAAAATATTTTATAAAATTATAAAAATTACATAAGTAAATATATAACTTAACAGACGCACATATATTATTAATTTATTTTGGTGACTTAACATAGAGTTATCTATATTTAAATTCAGGTTTACTAAATAAATAGCTTTATGATACTTTTATATTTGAAATATGCTTGTAAAAAATTTTTTTCAATTAGATTCTGAAAATTAATCTCCAAAAATATATGATATTATTTTTATTGTGATAATTTTTTATCAGATATAATAATGTATAAGCATTGTTTAAAAATATACATAATGACAATGCAATGAAATGAACAGTTAAATGGAATAAAATAATAAAATTTTAATTATATAACAGATATATAATTTTATTAAATATAAATTGTAATAATGTTTGATTTTATAATGAAAATATAAATATATTCAAAGTAAAATATATTCGAAAAGCTTGAGCATTTAAAAAACTGGAGAAGTATAAATTTTCGTAAGTTAAATGTTCATGATTTGATATGTATCAAAAATAATAATTTTAATTTTTTAAATATAATTGATTTATTGATAAGAAGTCAACAATATTATTATAAACTATATATGTACATATTATATTAATAATATAAAAATCAATCATAATTTTACTTATACACATATATATATATATGTATAATACGTATATATATATATATATACACATTATAATATGTAATATCATTACATACTTTATTGTTAGGATAAAATTAGAATTAAAATTTTACACACACATACGCGCACGCTCTACCGTGCGCGCGCGCGTGCATACACACCACAGAGTTTCATAAATATTTTAAAAAAATACACATTTTTTTCTTGTTATTGTGTTTCATTAAAATTCATGATAAACTTTGAATTTGTTTAGTAAAAATTTGTTTAAATATTTGTATTAATATAAACCTTATGTTTGATTACAAAATAATATCTTAATATACAAAAAATGCAATATGTAAAAACAAAGATTTCAACTAAAATACATTCATCTGTTTTATATATAATTTGAAGTCAAGAATTAATGATTTAATATATTTATAATAAAAGTTTCAGTATTATAAATTTTAATATCTTTCCAAAACTCTATATTGATTTATTGAAATGAATTATAATATTTTTTTTATACATATAATAAATTGTAAATACTCTATCTTTCATAAATCAATTTTTTTTTACTAAATATAAATATATAATTTTCAAAAATATGAAAGTATTATATAATTAAAATTTTGCAAATATGTAAAATTTTAAATAATATATTTTACATTTTTATGTATTAGATAATTAATTTAAAGAAAAGATTATTTATAATTTTTATTTATTTTATACTTATTATATAATATATTAATACCTACAAATTAAAATTCAAATTAATTCATGTTGAAAACTCGATATATTTTTTATAATTAACTCAGAATGAAAAAAATTTAAAATATTAATGTGTGACTTAAAATATAAAGATTATTTATAATATAATCATAGTGATATCTCATAAATAAATACATGTATGTACATATATAAAAATAATTGTGCATTGTATATTTTTGGAGCTTATGACAATCTTATAAAAAATATGAAATAATATAATAATTAATAATATAATAATTACAAATAATATTAATTTTTTAAACATAATTTATAAAAAATTATAAATTTTCCCTATTTAAACAAATATGTGTGTTCTATATATTTCTTAATCAAAAATATTTTTCTATAATAAAATTCTCGTATTTGTAATATTTTATTATATCGTATTATTAATATTTATTTAACTTTTTTTTAAATAATTTCTATATTAAGTATGTTAATATAAAATTTGTAAATCATTTTCATATTATTGTGTATAATTTTGGTTAAATGTAATATCCCTAGATTGTTAGTAATATACTTGGTATTTAATTGTAAAGATATTATATTGTACAGCATAGTACAAAAATACTAAAAATATATAAGAAATATAATTTATTTATTTCAATTTATTGAATATAATATATAATAAATTTATCATTTCATAATATTTTTTCTATATTTTTTGGAAAAAATAAACGTAAATTATTTTGAAAATAGAAAGTAACATGTACATGTTATTGATTGTGCCATCTATAAACTTACTGTATCATTGCTATTATAGACGATTGAATTATTCACTTGGTGTTTTTCGGTTGTACGATTACAGTGTTTTGTTCGGAATGCCTTGCTTTTATTACAATCAGTATGTGTATGTGTGTACAGGTTAGATATTTGATGATTTCGGGATACATATAAAAATCATTTTCAAAAATTGATTATTCCGCGCAACATGCTAGAAGTTGGAAGTCGTATTTGTATGTACTGGATGAAAATTCGTTTATCATTTCCATTATTTGAATTTATTCATTTTGTAGTGAGTATTTGTAGCGAATAAATAATTTCATTTGTATTCTAATTTAAATTTATTCTTTAATATTGATTCTTAACCTTACTAATATTTTTAATGCATTTTTAATTAATCAATGTTGAATATTTTATTATTTTCATATCTATTAATCTACTATAAATTAAAAAATATTATTATTTATGTTTCTTAATGCTTTATCTTATATATTTGCACATATATATGTATATATATATACATATATATATATCCTTATATATATATACATATACGAAATATTCTTATGCTGTGTATGCGCGTGTGTATACAGTAAAAGTCAGAAATGAATATTATATCTTAAAATATTTATTTAATAATATTTATTTAATAGTTATGTATGTATGTCAAATATGATATGTTAAAAACATCCAAGTCTTTTGTTATTAATTTATATTCATATATTGTTTGTACTTTTATCAGTTCTAATGTATGTTTTGATATAAATATAAAATTTATTAAATAAATTGCTTACTTTCAAGATATATACTCATTTTACTTTCATTAGTATATATATATATATACATACATGAGAATAATGATAATTATTAAATATAGCAAACT